ACATCACACCACTCCACACCACACCACATCACACGTGACTTACCACTCTGGGATAACATCAGGGAAAAATATAGATTGGGATAAGGCAGACGTCGATACTAGCAATCTTACGACAATGTATCAGGCGAAGAACCAGAAGTACAAAGAACTTGCCCATATCGTGAAAGAACAATGGAATATCCTAGAAGCAAAGACTGTCCTGCGTTCTTTCAGCCACGGACATCATTCTGAAGACCTTAAAGTACTCGCCAGAAACACTTGATTTTGAGAAGAGTGCCGCCATCTGTCTCCAGAAATTTGTTATACTCAGTACGTGCCCATTGGCCAGGAAATTTCTGGGAAGTAATATAAGTTTTTTAGGTTCTACAATAATCAATATTGATGTTTCTGAATTATAAACATAAATATGCATCTGTTTGTCGTCTCTACGAAAACCGCTAATTTTGTTTATAGATTTAAAATTTAATTTACAATGTGTTAAGACTTCGAAAGTCATTCTTTGATAGATGCAATCTGTATGACTTCTGTCTCAGTATCAGTGAACTGTACACGATTAAATAATAATAATAATAATAATAATAATAATAATAATAATAATAATAATAATAATAATAATAAAATGAATATAATTGCAAGAAAACCAATACTTTTCCTTCCTCAAAATTAATACGCGTTTAATGTAAATATAGTAGAGATTGAGATTCTATATTTAAGGATCATAAACCGTTGCAAACAAACTTTCCGATAATAAATATTTATTAAAATTCCGTATTTAAATGTAAAAAAGTGTGTGTGATAATTACGTGTGAACCGTGATAATTTTTCATTTTTTTGCACAGTGTGCGAGAAATCCCTGGCACAGGGAGGCTTCTTCTGCAAGGACGGCGGATACTACTGCACCGTCGATTACCAGCGCCTCTTCGGTACCAAATGTGCTACATGTGGAGACTACGTTGAAGGAGAAGTAGTGACAGCGCTTGGCAACACTTACCACCAAAAATGTTTCACATGTGCAAGATGCAGGTAAGACGCAATGTAAGACGCAGGCAACGCAGAAAAATAATCAAAAAGTTTGGAGCGGTTTCTGAGAAAAAACGAAAATTCTTGAAGATTCATGTATTGTATCTATTTCAAATTGAAGGGGCCGCGGCATCAGCCAGATCGATCGGGGAATATCAATTTTGGTGAATATCCTGCTTACGATTTAACCTTACGCGTTGTTCACGAACGGAAAGACGACGCCCGCTTCTTCAGTATCGGGGTCCAACAACACGAATTTTTCGTCTAAAAAATCGCAGTTTTTCGCTACAGCTTTACAGCGTATGTGGTATGCAAGAAAGTAAAAATTCAACAATTAATGGGTATCGAGGCATTTTATGGCTCTAACATCGAATTAGACATACAAGTAGATCCTGTAATATTGTAAAATAACTGAATGTGTATATAATTAATTTCAGGTGTGTCTGTCAAAATATTAAAACAGGCATTTACCTAAAAATCCGGCCTGGTAAAATGCATCCCAATTCGCCAGTTCTCTAATTTGCGTTTTTCATCATTCATATTTTAAAAAAAGTAATTATTGTGCTTGCAGTAATTAGAAATATTAACACTTCAACGGGCTTTAACTCGCAACCTTTGGGACATTATAGTGAAATAGACATCAAAATCACAGAAAAAAACTGCTGTACTGAAATGAATGTTTTCCAGAAAATTACATAAGCAACTTTGTACCTACAGATATTGACAGTGTGTAATGACTGTCTTTACATTGTAGACAACCTTTTCCATCTGGGGAGCGTGTGACTTACACTGGCAAGGAAGTGCTCTGCCAGCGTTGCAACCAGATACCTGTACGTGATGCACGCTCACCGACTGCTGGATCCCCTGGCAGTGTGGGCCCTGAATGTGCTGGTTGCCAGGAGGAATTGAAAGAAGGGCAGGCTCTTATTGCCCTTGAGCGCCAATGGCACATCTGGTGCTTTAAATGCCATGCATGTGGTGCTGTGCTTCATGGTGAATACATGGGCAAGTGAGTATATATCTCGAGTCCATTAACAAAGTGTAATTTTAAATCACACTTGTTGCTACTACTTATAAGTGAAAATGAAATCATATTCAATTGTTATGTTGTAATAAGTGTTTAATATTTATAAAGTATGTTTTTTTTAAACTTGAAATATATATTGTAAAAAAAAAAGAAAAAAAAGATTTACTCCCTGAATGTTTTGTATATAGGGATGGCATTCCGTACTGTGAGAAAGATTATCAGAAACAGTTTGGCGTCAAATGTGCCTATTGTAATAGATATATATCTGGCAAAGTATTGCAAGTAAGTAATAATACTTTTGTTGCTCTAATATTTTTTTAAAATTGTTTAGAAAAGGGTATGGTTCAGCCTTTTTTGTTTCTTTAGTATATAAAATAATATGTAATTATGTTAACTGCTCTTGCTTCATAGTTTCATATTCTTTTTTAATCCCTATGAAAGGCTGGAGAAAATCATCATTTTCACCCAACATGTGCTCGGTGTACAAAATGTGGAGACCCCTTTGGCGATGGAGAAGAGATGTATTTGCAAGGTGAATATTTATTTTTATTTCTTAACAGGACATCGCTTAGAAATACAAATAGGTATTGTAAAATAAACGTCACACATGTCAAATGGCAAGAATGCTTAAAATAAGAATACATAAAAGCTAATTACATAAAGAATATAAAATGCACAGCAAAACAAATAACTGCCTCACAGCGGGTATCAGAGAATTACATAAATAAGTAGTAAATACACTAGTAGAATTAATTAAATCATAGACTTAAATATGGTTGATACACTGTTATTCAGAGAGTAAAAGAAGATTAAGGCAGCTAAAAGATTTTGTTAAAGTTGTGATTGAAGAAATCAATCCTATCAGTATAGTAATGGGTGGTTCTTGGCAATTATTAAAGATATCATGATAGGTGAAATTTTTTGACAATGCATCCACTCAGAAACAAGTAGGGAATTTCATTCTCATCTGAGGTATGTGAAGAGAGATAAGAGAAAGATGCTCAGGACAATCACTGAGACCCTGCAGTATTTTATGGAAAAAAATTAGTTCATTGAATTTTCTCTTATCCTAAAGAGTTTTCAATTTAAATATATTGTAGCTCATCAAATCTCTGAATTGGTGTCTCATTTCTGAAAACTAGATGGCATAGAAATTTACGTTGTACTTTTTCCAATTGATTAGTAGATAGTTCAGTGTAAGGTGACCACATGACAGCTATATTCTAAATTAGATTTATCAGAGTTTTATAAATAATTAGAAAGTTGTCAAAGGACTGGAAGTATTCAAAATCTCAGGAAATGCAGAGTTTTATTTACTGTAACATTAATATGTATATTAAAATCGAGTTTACAGTCAATCACTCCAAGATTCCTGGTGTTAAGAAAATTGTTCAAGGATTTACCATTTGAAAAATATTGGAAGCTCATAACATTATGTCTCTGGGCAAGAGTCAGTGCGTAACACTTATTATTAGGGAGAGGATTTTTATACCCTTAAAAAATCTTGAAGAATGCTTTTAAAATATGCATTTATGACCTAAAAATGCTCAAGTATGCACTTTAATATGCATTGAAAATTAACAATATTTCATTTCCTTTATTAACCTTTCTTGATAAAATCCTGTGCTTGAATGAAAGGAGAAGCATGCTTCAAATGAAAAGATATATTTTTGCACAAACAGAATAAAATCGACCTTACATTGCAGGAGAAATAATTAAATATTCACCTTATTGAAGTACATTGCATGCATTTCTTCTGTCTGGTTTTAAAAACTATGTCAAGAAATTTCCTACATTTGCACATTTTTTATCATTAAAGAAAAGAAAACTAGTGGTGCTACCAAAGCACGTACTTTCTCGCATTGTTTCTAAAGTCCACAACAATATATTATTACATAAACCAGCAAAAGTGTTTTCAAGAAGCAAATTGCTTTTCTGCTCCAGGACTCGAACTCAGATCCTCAGAGTTAACCTGTCGACATGCGTAACAATTCGCCACACACATGCCAGGTCGCACTCATGCAAAGGCATAAAAAGATAAATGCCGGTTCGTGTAAAAATCCTACAACAATCAAACTATCCGTTAGAAACTCTCACTCCAGTCTGTTCAGATCAGTTGGGGAATATCAATTGAACGGTTTAGGTGCTAACTTCGACCACAGAGGGACAGACAGGCAAACAGAGAGACAGTGGTTTTGCCATCAATCGATTTTTCGAGAACTAACAGAACATAGATTCTGCATACAATACGTGTTAAAGGACTTCTTCTCCTATACGTAGCAAGAGAAATTAACCAGGTTTTTGTTACCAGAGCTCGGCAATATGTTTTTCCGGCGAAAAATTACTTTCTTTTATTGCAAAGAAGGCAAGAAAATAATAATTTTGGAACCTTTAGGCATATCTAAGTTGGTCCCATTGGTAGTGTTCTTAATGTATTTAAATTAATGTCAATAAATTCATTAGTTTACTTAAATCAGTTCATACAGATGCCAGAAACTCTGCTGATCTCTATCTCTATGCCGGTGTAAAAATGTTGTGTAGGTCAAAATGAATCATATGGCATTAATATATATATAATATATATATTATATATATATATTATATATATATATATATATATTATATATATATATATATATATAATATATTATATATATATATATATATATATAATATATATATATATTATATATATACTATAATATTATATTTATATATATTATATATATATATATATATTATTATATTATATATTATATATATACTATATTATAATATATATATATATATATTATATACTACAGATATATACTAATATATATATATAGTAATATAATATATATATATATATATATATAATTATATATAATATACAATCATATTATATATATATATATATATATATATATATATATATATTATATATATATATATATATATGATGCCGGTGTAAAAATGTTGTCTTGAAGAGAAAAGTATAGATGTACGGGCTCCATAAAGTAAGTCACTTCCTAGCTGTCAGGAGTGCTATTTATGCACGAATCTATAACACTAATACTTGTCCGAAAATATAAGTAAATTGTTAAAAAATTGTGAAAATTATAAGAGTGCCAAAATGAGATGTAGTGATTCTCACATTGCCATGTGACCATTACCATAATATTCTTAATTTACTAGTGTGGTTGGAGATATGTTGCTCAATAGTTGCCCAATTGTTTGTCAATATTACTAATCATTTGTAAACCATTCTGTTGTATACAGGCACAGCCATTTGGCATCCTCGCTGTGGCCCAGGGCCCACTGAGAATGGCGGGGCCATTCTAAATGGCAGTGCTCCAGTGGAGAATGGACACTGCACCAACACAGAGCTGAGCAAGGACAGTGGTCGAGAGTTTGACCACATGAGCAACTCTGCCAGTGAAATGCAGGCAAGCTTGCATCAAGATTCGCTTTACTTATTTCTTATTTTGTGCGTCACCTATTGCATGCTTTGCTGTACCAAAAAATGTAGTGGGTTCATTATAGATCAGATCCCATTTTATTCTTGTTTATGAAATATGCCTAATTAGAAATAATAGTAACAACAATTTGCTTATTTGTTACTATTACTAAACTAGTATATTCTGCTTTTGCTACAACAAATGGATTTTGTTGCATTAAAGGGGATATTAATGGCCAGATTTGTGTTTAATAACAAATATATAAGGAAAGTTTTAAATCATAATTTTAAATCATAATTGGAACTATTTCAATACATTTAGTACAATGTATTTTTGAAAAATAATGAGAAGTGAATTATTAGTGATAATGGTTACAATCATATATTCAATAAAAGGTTCAAAAAATAATTTTTGTTTGTTGAATTGTGAAGAAATAACGTGAAAATAAAGGCACTTATGGGAAGAGAAATTGGGAGTACCATTGAAAGATGTGTATTTCTGACTGCAGGTTGTCATTGGTAAATGAAGGCTTCAAGATACATTTTTAAAAATTGCCATTTTTGTAGCTAATGATCTACTAGTTTTCAATATTTGCATGCTTATGAACATAATAACAATGTATTTAATTGATTGGCAGCTTGAAGTTTTCTTTGAATTTTCCTCCTTTAATCAAAGAAAATGTTTATTTTTTTTGCAATTATCAGAATGTTGGAATTTTATTTTTCATACCAATATAACATATAAGTGTTTCCTTGCTACCCCTTAGAAAACATTTTTGTATTTACTTTAATTTCTCTTCATTTATGATTTTTATTTGTTTGCCTGAGTTTTGGTTTTGATTTGGTTTTGCAGTTTTCGCTGCGTTCTCGCACTCCTAGCCTTAATGGCTCCTTGTATAGCCCTTATAATAGCTTGTCACGCAAGGTTAGTGACATTCTTGTGTTGTTAAATTTAGAATGTAATTAATTGTGTGTTTGAGAATAATCTTTGAAGATTTATTTAAATGCATTTTTTTAATGCATATTTTCATATTTTTCATTTCCGTATATTGCATTTGTTTCGTTTGTTTTTATATTTTTTGCTCAAAAATTCATATATTATTTGTATTTAGAGAGCTTTTTCATCTCTTATCAGAGAAAAATTTGGGGTAGAGTGCTGTTGGGATATAATTCAGCAGCTTGTTGTGCAAAGCATAGGTTTGCATGTGAAGCCAAATTATTTTCTGATGGTAAAAACTTTTCAGAAATAATCTTTTGAATTATTAATTTGAATTGTCAAATTTATTGTTGGACTCCTGTATTTCAGAAAAAAGAATAGTGTATTTTTTGTCTTTCTGATTTAAGTAATTGTGATCACTGAACAATATAAGAGGATTTTTTTTATTTACATTGACTGAAAAACATGTTTTAAATTCAGATGCAAAAGCTCTCTGATATGAGCAAACTTATTAAAAAATAAATTAGTTGTAAAATTATTTTCAAAAACTATTGTAGACAAAGAACTGATTCCAGATCTTTTGAAACAAAGTTTAAATATTTTAAATATTTTATGAATTATCTAAAAAGTAAAGAAGGCTTAGAGATTAACTGTGAATGCTCGAATGACTCTTGCAGCAGTATAGCGGTGGATATCCTCGCACTGGCAGCCCTGGCCTCATCCTCAGAGAATACAAGAGCCCTCATTATGGGGATGACATAAGCCGCATTTACACCTACAGCTACTTGACAGAGGAGCCCTCTCTGGGCTACCTGCGAAGGCCCATTGAGCCATACGACAAGCCTCCCACTTCCCCACACTTCCACCGACCCTCATGTGAGTGAACGCTTTTGTGGGGTGCTGAGTACTCAATACAGTGAAACTTCAATTTTATAATCACAGATTTTATATTTTCCCGGAAGAGGCATCAAAAATTAGTAGTCATGGCAACATATCCGAATAAGTAATGCATGATTTTTCTTGATTTTCCGAGTGACATGTGAAATCCTACTGTGTAGTAAAATCTCTATATTAAGATTTTTGAACGGCAGGACATTTTAATTTTGATGGACATTATGGAAGAAAAGGCAGCAATGACAGTGTCAGTTTCAGGAAGGGTAGTGGGGATACATATAAATGTTGTGTGTTTTTTAAACTGAATGTTTTGAATTGGTTTGTTGAGAATTTTTCCAGGACTAACCCCACGTGTTTCGTTTTGAGTGTGTTCATCAAGTTAGTCACCAATGATAAGACAGTTTCTGGTTTTGACTTTCTCACTACCGCTTACACAGTAAAGTGAAAATAATATAATGTTGAGGGGAAAAACAACGTGTTTTCGGCAGACAACAGCAAAACGTTCAAAACTGTCTGTCCGTCCGTTTGTGTGTGAACAATGCTAGCAGATACACCTTTCAACCGGTTTTCTCCAAAATTGATATTCCTCTATCGATCTGGCTGATGTCGCGGCCCCATGAATTTGAAACTGATATTGTAATTTTTGGGGGCACTTCACATAAGCCCATGGAACATTTTCAAAATGGAAAGAAAAAAAAGCTAGGTAGTATTTGATTAAATTGTGTTGTTGGATAGTAAGAAGGATGTTTAAGGGAATGGTGTAGGTTCGTTGAAAACTCTGATTTTTTGAAAAGTGCAAAATTTCAAACTATTTTTGGCATCTTCCAAAAATTACAATTATAAAGATAGAAATTTTTCCCTTTAATAAAATCTGGTCCTTTAAGATAATTTTTTGCGTGAAAGTAGGGCGAGAAAGTACTTAATGTTTTAGCACCGCTGGCTTGTATTCAATTCTTTTCAATTGAAGTTTTAATGTATTACTTACTATTATTCTTAGAATTACAATGTGTGTTGGAACAAAATCTGTGCAAAAGATATTTTCCTCGATTTTACACTTTTTTGGACTAGTTTCTGGAGTGGCATAAAATAGGGGCTTCACTGAATATTATTGTCAGCTTTTGGTGAATTTTATTTAGTAGTTAGCATTCTAAAAATTTTTTTCTTGCAGACAAAGCTCTTTTATCAAGGGTTTTTGTTAATTATTTAATACTTTTGGTTTACTGTGAAAGCTTAAAAGCCATTGGTTTTGAAACAAAAAGTGATTTATAGTAACAAGTAAATTAATTGTATATGTTGTAAATTTAATGATGGAAGGGTATGTAGTTCATATGTGTGATGATTTAGTGCCTCATTGACACATGAATGAGATCAATGAGTGGGTTATTTACTTGCAGGTTTTGTATACCAACCCTGAAATTCTTTTGTCATTATTAATTTATAAGGTTATTTTTCCTAATGTACTTTGTTGCAGCTGCACATTCACGTAGCAGTGGCAAGTTTTCATTGAGCAAAGCCTCATCTAAGTCTGGCATGAAGGTGTTAGTGGACTCTATCCGCTCAGAGACACCACGACCTAAATCACCTCACATGAACAACGAGGAACCCATTGAATTAGCTCATTTTCCAGCAGCCAAGCGACCTCCACCTGGAGAGAAGCCCAAAATTGAGAGAGATGACTTTCCAGCTCCACCATATCCATACACAGATCCAGGTGAGCTTTCAAAAGATGTCAAATGTTATTTGTATTTATGGGACAAAATAATAACAATACTGAAACTGTATGTATGAGAAACTGTGTTAGAGAGAAAAGTGATGCTCTGTGGAAAGTATAGCAGAAAGACTGGATATCTTCTGGCATGTAACACTCACCATGTCAAACACTAAGAGTATTATGAACCTTTACCAGCAGATAGTGTGTAATAAAAAATGTATATAGTCAAACAGTTTGTTTCAGTATAATTCAGTAGTTAGGGTAAAAATCATCTTAAATTACGGAAATTTTGGTGCAACCCCCCAACTTAACTAGAATTTGATATGAGGCCTATAAGTCCTAAGTTGGACAGCCCTGCTTTAGAACATTGGAATCTTTATTTTGATGTCATGTCTGTACACCCTTGTTCAATCACCAGTTATGAACCATTTGAGCAGTTCAGAATTACTGTTGACTTATTTGTGACAGCAGCAAAAGTTGATGTACACATATCTTAACAACTATACATTGTACAACAGTATAAGATCACAATAAAATTAATATGTAAGAAATTAATATCTCAAACTAAAACCTATCCAAATATGTCATAAATGGGTTTATTGTGATCTCGTTGACATTCTGTGGTGATAGACTATTGAATGTGTTTTAGTTGGTTTAACTGAAAATGATTTAAGCTTTGAGAAAACTCTTCTTGTGAGGTAGAGTATGGAATTCCCTTTCCTGGTTCCTGCAGATACTTGACTCTCCCCTTTAAAGTCCTGCTTTAGAATTACTCCTAGGTCATTTTGAGGTGTTGTAGGTGTTAGTGTTTGCTCCCCACTCCCAGACAAAAGGTTTATTTGCAATTGCATCGTAATTAGCTCTAGTAATCATGGTTCATCTTCAGGATTTAAGTCATCCTTTCTCCCGTCACAATTTGTAAGAATGTTATAGCATCCTTACAAATTGATTATTCAAGCCAACTTGTTGTCAGGTGGTGTGATATCTTCATTTGTTATCAGTACCAAGTCAAGCAAGTCTAAACTCTTGATTTGCTCTAAATATGGTCAGTTCCATCATTTGACTAATATTTGAATGAATATAGTGATGCAAGAATTCCTGATATACTTGTGTTCTTCCACGAGCTTGGGGGAGTTCTGTCCAGGTGATACTTGGGTAGTTGAAGCCTAAGATTATAACTACCTCATAACTTAGACACACTTTGTTGATATTGTCAAAGAGTTTTTGATCAGATGGCTTAATTCTCTGATCAGGTGTCGCTGGTATACCACCTGTTACAACCTGGATTTCACACGTCGTTATCTTCAGCCACAGTGCCTCAACTTCGTGTATCCTGAATACTGTACTTTCTTGAGATTATATCTTATTCTTAACATACTCCTCCTTGTCCCTTTTTATGCCTATCATTACTGTTAATATTATAGCCAGAAATACTTTTTATTGGATCAGGTAAATTGGGTTGCTGTCATGTTTTTTTTTGGGGGGGGGGATAATAATATTCAGTACAACTTGATTAAATCAGCCAGAAATAGATAAAATTTAGATGTTAAAAATGAAGTATTTGTATATAAAATCTTAGGCTAAATAAATTGCTTATTGTTGTTGTGTGTCTCTGTCTTCCTTTTAATATATCAGGGTTTTTGTAGAATTTAATTACTAGATCTGGATCTTTTTTGTTTTTTTCCTTTAGTTTCTTACTTAGTTTCATCTTGTCTCGGCATTGATATGTAATCTCTATTAATTTTATTCCCTTCAGGTGCTTTCTTGCTATTTAGCAAACTGTCCTTCGCTTCTATGGGGCTATTCAATATGACCTTGGGTGGACTGGGATTATCATCTCTATCACTCTGGAATTTTCCCAACCTAATGACTTTTGTGATCTGGTCCTGATCTTCAATCTCCAAGGAACCTCGAGTTTCTCTCACTTCACTTCAAATCCATGGAAATCGTCTATAAGTTTCTCTCATCACCCACTTCTTCTTTAACATCTTCAGTTTGACAGTTTTTCTTTAACAAATCACTTAATCCTTCCTTCCTTCCTTCCTTCCTTCTGTTGTGAGAGCTTATAAGTCAGTTTGGTTTCAAGAGTAGAGAATTTCATGTCACGACTCTCTCATTTTGCTCTTTTTATGTCTAATAGTTTTAGCATGTTTTTTAGTCATGTTTCCTGATTCTTTTGTGTCTCCTGGTGTATCTTTCAAATCTAAACTGTATGGAACTTCATATTTTTGTTCATAGCTCATGTTATTATTGAAAGCAATTCAAAATTTAACTTCATGGGTTTTAGGTAATTCATTGTATGCTAGTAAAGTCTCATAAAAATATGTGCCTTGACATCGTGGGTGTTGCATGTTTGAGCTGGCAGGATTTGTTGAATGAAATAAAATATGAGCCTGAATATCTACGTCAAGAGGTGCCAACCACATAACGTACGCCACACATTTTCTTCACATAAAAGTTCAGTTGCACCATATAGTAACTTAGTATCTTTTGTACTTTCATATGTTCACGGTTGGGGTGAAATATAGAGATAGTGGATCTTCTTTATTTAAGAGAGGGAAATGGTTACTTGATGCACTACTTGTTATCCAATGGCCCAAAGTTGGCCATCCCTGACCTATGTATTGTACTGTTGGTGAGCACATTCCTCCAGTTCTCCTTCTGTCATAAAGACTTTGCTATCCTAAGTTCATGTCACAAAAGTTTTAATTATTTTTAAAATCAAATTAATTTTCTTTTTCTTTGCTCCATTTTTTCTTAAAATTATGGTATTTTTAATGTTTTCACAAAGAGAATAAATCTTTTCAGAGCGTCGACGACGATGGTCAGACACTTACAAGGGAGTTCCTGAATCAGATGATGAAGAAGAAGTAGATGGTGAGAAGAAGGATGAGCATCAAAAGAGTGAAGATGCAAAATTGAAGGTGAGTTGTTACAAAATGTTTTTTTTTTTTTATCATGAAAACATTTGGCTGGGTAAAGTTTGTAAATTGTCCTTGAGTTTGGGAATTCCTAACTCACATGTGGTGGCACACAGATAATGAACTAGTTGTGCAACAACAGCGCAAACGTTCTTGCCTTCTTTGTAACTTTTGTAATTTTTTAAAATTCAAAGAATTCATTGATAATTGGACATGCACAATTTTTATAAGCATACTTTACACTATTTGAGAGAAAAATAATTCAAGGAACAAATAGAGCTTTTAGTTGTAGAAAATTAGCTTTTAGTTTAAAAAATAGCTTTTAGCTATTAAAATTAGCTTTTAAAATTGCCCCACTAAATGTGGATTCTGACTTCACAACATTTTAGAGAAAATAATTTTCTACATACAGGGACAAGAGTTATCCATTTTTGGGTATTGAGAACCCACAAAATGAGTTTTTTGGATGAAAAAATCACTGTATTTTTGCTGCAACATGACAATACTTTCTCTATACTGTGTAAGTAGTACACAAGAAAGTAAAAATGAAAAAAAAATTACAATTTTGAAATCGCACATTTTTAGGAAAAGTTATGAAGTGATCATGAAATAAATTCAGTTGACTCCAGTTATAGTGAACTTCTGGGGACCAACATTTTTGGTTCACTATATCAGAGGTTCACTATATCCGAAGATGTCAAAATTAAATACAATTTCTCCACAATGATTTATTATATTAATATAGATGTACAGCAAAATACATTAATGGGGTGAATTGAAAATTTCAATATCATTATTTGTCCTTTAAAGAATCAATAATTTTCAATTGTTTGCTTCATACATTTTTCATTACTAATTTCTCTAGATCATGCTCTCAGCATACCTTATTCTGCATTTCCCACTTTAAGAATTGTAATGCAGTCTTGACACCCTTCAATTCCTCGTGCATTGTTGGAAAACCCACTCTTTGAAGGCCCTTTTATTCACCTAATAGCATATGAGATTCTTTGGTAGCAGCTAGAGCCTTGCTGATTGCTTTTCCACGTGGCATGGCAGGTATCAGGAGACTGTGGTGCTGTGGCAGTCCTGCAATTCCTGTCGCCTGTGTAAAAGACAAAATCAAAGTTTCGCGGAATATCACATAACATCAAGCTTGAAACTGAGTGGCGTAAGGTCATTAGTAAGATCCCCATTCTGAGATTGCTATGTTCACCTCGGGCAACTTCTTCAATTATGACCTTTCATTGATTTTTTTTAGCTGCCTATTGTTGGAATGTGTGGCTCTGGGGTGATATATTCTTTTCCAAATGGAAATTAGTTTCAGATCATTGTGTTTCCTATAACTGACATTCTGGTTCATTATAACCAAATCTTGTTATGGTTGGTTCATTATAACCGAATCTAACATTGTTCTGTGAGAAAACTTTATTAATTCTTTAAAGCAAGAAATAAATTTCCTTGTTTGCTTTCAGCAATTTGAGGTTTCTTCTTCTGTTGTTTTGAAATTGTTTTTTTATAGAATCTGAATTCAAATTAATATGCATGACAAGGTCTGTATGTTAAACAAATAGTACTAAAAATGAATTTTTTTTAATTGCTTGGATTGCCATTATAATATACATTGCATTGTATTTGATTGATACAAAGTTTTTGGAAGTGGTTAATTCCAGAGAAGAGGTTGATGAGTGTTTTTATTTTCTTGTTTTCAGAAAGAGGAGGAAGAGCTCAGCAAAATTGCAACAGGCATTGGAAAAGTGTTCCTACAGAATGTCAAAGAAAGAGAAAAGTTGCGTCAATGGAAATTAGCCCATTTGGATCCACGAAATGCCTCTCGCACTCCTTCTGCTGCACGAGAACCAGCTTATCGTTTACGATATGAGTCTCCCATTAATGCATGTAAGTGCTATGTAGTTTTAGTTGTAGTTGCAAACATTATAAATTCTTAGAGTGAAATACTTCACAGATTTATCATCACAGTACACTGCTTCTGGTACTGGCTGTGTTTAAATGCTGACAATTCAGTGCACTGTTGTTGGACAATACCATGCACGTGGCAGCACCAATGGAACAGATGGATGAAATCTCAAAAATTTCAATTTTACTGTCGGACATGTCTTGGAGATCATGCTCATAGTGATGATCATAACCAAATATCACAGCCTCCTAAACCATGTGTTGAAAACATGATGCATTAGCTCTAAATGGCTTTCTTATCTATACTGCAAGCAATGAATGCTCTTGTAGGACCTTTGTGTCTGACAACTCTCTCTCATTTGCTCGGAAGAATTATTTCCTATGATATGATCAAATTTCAACATTTTCTTCTTGCGACCACAACATGTTTATTTCCTGCCGAGTGCTTCTCACCACATCTTTCCTTTTGTTACTTGAAGTGTTGGATTCTATGGCATTAAAGTAACAATGATAAAGAGGTATGTGTATGAGATGTATGTGTATGCATTTGATACACAGTCCAGTGACATTAATGTGACCACCTATCTGAATTCTGAATAACCCCCTTTTGCAGCACTGATCACAGTGATTCATGTAGGAAGAGAGTCAGTTAGGTTCTGGATGGTACCGACAGGGATGTGGAGCCATGCCAATTCCAGTGCCGTGGCCAGCTATGCTAGGTTCCTCGGGAACAGATCCATGGTACGAACAGCCCAATCAAGTTGGTCCAAATTTTTGATTCGGTGTAAATTGAGGGAGTTTGGTTGCCAGGGGAGTCCTGTAAATTCATCCTGATGCTCTTTGAATGAACACACGAACACTGTGAGCTGAATGACACATTGCATTGTCCTGCTGGTAGATGCCAGAAGCCTGAGGGAAATTGATCTGCAAATAGGAGTGGACATGGTCCATGGATAAATTCTTCTGTTGATCCATTGTCTGTTTCAGAATGATGAGATCACCCAGGTAATGCCATGAAAACATTCCCCAAACATCAAAACAAAACATTTTTGACCCATCTGGAGATTGTTGCAAGGTTTTCAGTTCAGATATTTCTTAACCTTTTATGACCATCTGTCCAATGGAGCAGAAAATGTGATTCATTTGAAAAGGTCATCCGTTGCTACTCAGTGGATGTCCAGTTGCAGTATTAGCATGCAAATTCCAGCCTTTGTCTCTAATGGACAGTAGTCAACATGGATGCATGAACCAGATGTCTGCTGCGGAGGCCCATATGCAGCAACGGTCACTGAATGGTTGCTAAGAAGACCCTGTTGGTAGCTCCTTGGTTCATTTGGTAGGTCAGTTGCCCTACAGTGGCATGTCTGTATACCTGTAAGCATCTCAGTAGCCGTCGTTTTCCCCTGTCATCTATCATCTATAGCCTGTGGTGCAGCAAATTTGCCTCGGTGCTAGTTTTGGATAGCTCCATTTTGTCATGGATGGTATACTTTAACCATGATGGCTAGCAAACATGTTACAAACTTGGCCATTTTGGAAATGCTTCCGTCCTTCATTCAAAAGCCCTTCAATGGATAACAAATAAATCACCTTTTTTATTCCACCCCCACTGTGGCAACTACTACACTGTTTTCTGCTTCCATCCGACATGCTTTATATACACTCCATTGTTAGTGCTGTCGTGCTTGAAGGGTTTTTGCACAAGGGGTTTTGCCAAGCATAGGCGGTGGTCACATTAATGTGACTGTGTAAATCTTTACAATTTTCTGAAATTCTACTTTGTCATGTTCATCTTTAAATATTGCTCCATCTTTTCTTAGCCAATGGATTATATCTCGTTTCTTCTTCTCATTAAGCTCATAATATCACTAAGTGAAAGTGCTATTCAACTGTTAGTGCATCATAGAATATAAATTATATTAATATATGTACAGTAGGAATATTTTGTGCATTTTAACGCTTGTTGAAAGAAATTGAGATGGTAGAAATTTTGAAATTTTACTTTCCTTTTGCTCCTCAAAGAAAGTGGGAAGACATAATAAAAAATACAACTACAAGAACAAAAGAAAGGTTGATAGAAATGGAATTTTCAAGTGCAGAAAACTACAAATATAGTCATTCAAATAAATTAACTTCACAAATTTATTAGAAATTGTTTCATGCTCTTCTTTCTCATTGTCATCAAATGAGAAAAAGTAAAAGTACCATTAGAGAGAAAGTCACCAATCTGATGGAGGTAGTTAGAACTAGAGTGGGCCAACCTTTATTTTTTATAACGCCAAGGCAAGGCTTCTGCTCTTTCAAAGTGGTCCAAAGCAGTTCTTAAAGTAGCAACCAAAAGGAAGCACCTAACAGCCTCAGGCCATAAGAGAGACCAAGCCAACAGCTGATGACAGAGTGCACTACTGTGCATTATCATAAGGTGGGAATGACCCATTTTGGTTCCAACTACCTCAATTACTTTTCACCAATAGCTGGACTTTGTGTGATAAGTTGCTGTGTGAAATTGTGCCTAACATGCCAGCCTTCTAACAAGCCCTGGGTGCATGTTAACCCTTGTGCAGCCCCGTCCCGTAATGTGGATCACCCTCGTCCTTGGGATGAGGATGAATTCGACCGCAGTTCCAGCTACCGTTCATCTGTGGGCAGATCTGTTGGAACGATCCCAAGCTACAATGGTGAGCCTTCACTTCACACTATACGAACAGTAACATTACTACATTACTATTACAAAGTGGGTACTCTTGTCTTTTGAGGCTTCAGAATATTTTATTCAGGTCTCTCTTATAATATTGTGTCAGGTTTTAAATAGTAATTGACAATGATAAATAACAATAACATCGTACTTAAATTCCCATCGCAATAACCAACCTGAATACACAAAACAAAAGGAGTACAGCTAATATATGATGTTGTTCTTACCAGCTTCAATAGCAGCTGAAATTGCTAAAGGAAACGCAAGGTAGTATGGTCATCCCAGTTGCTAATCAAATACTCAATCATTTTATTTCATCTATAAAGTAACTCGTACTGTTTGTTATACTGAATGAAGCATTTAAACAATTATTTGTTAATAATTTGAATTGTTGCTCTAGAAAAACAAAGTTTCCTATGGAATTTAGTATATCATATCATTTTTAATATTCACTCATATTCATTTCTTCATTACTCAAAAATTCATTACAATATCTTGTTAATTAAGGTATTGATGAAAAGTGGTAACATTATCTCCAAAACATTTCATTAAATAAGATATTTTTATGTAAGTCAACTATGAGTAATCTATAATTTTATTTGAGCAAATAAACCTGTTGTATAAATAAATAAGTTGGCAATACTATTTGAGGATAGGTTGACTTCTGCTTCCACACTTTTCTTTCTTTCTGCTCTGAATATCATTCCGCATTGGGTGCATCAAAAATTAATTATCTTCAATTAGTTTGTGATTGTGTACGATACAAAATTATAAGTTAATGCAATTTTCTTTGGTTCTCCATGAGAAAAAAATGCTGACTATAGTATAATTTGTACAGCTTTGCCTCTAGGTCAAGAGCCAGTACTTATGGTTGTGATGAATTTCTTAATAGTTCTTGATTAATAGAATGTTTGGTAAGATATATTACGTTTTATGTCATTTCTTTCTTTCAAATATATTTATTTATTTATTTAATAAAATTAAAGCCAACAGTAATATTAATGTAAATATCATGAATCAAGTGTAGAGTAAAGATTGTGATTGTAGTTTATAATAGTTTATAACAATTGATTCCACAAAAGAAATTGAAACTGAAATAAAGGATTAAGAAAGTAGATTGTATGTATCTCACATTCATCACAAGTCAAAGATTTCTGGAACAAAGTTAAAAAAATTCAGAGTAAAGTATTTCACTCTGAATCTGAGATCTCAAAGGTTCTAAAGTACTTAAATTGTCCTAGCTTAAACTTGGCTTTCATAAATTTCATGGAATGACCTATCAAATTAAAATTGTATTATGTTCGCATGAAAATTTGTCGATTATTTACTCCATACCCCATGGAGAACCTTAAATATCTCAACCATGGCAGTATAGGTTCTTCTCTCTCTCTCAACGTCAACAACCCAAGTTTGAGGAGTCTTTGATCATATGAAAGCCCTCTAAGATCAACTCAAATTTGGATGGCTCTTCTCTGGGCTCTTTCCAAGAGATCAATGTTCTTGATAAGATAAGGAATCCAGAGTGCAGAGTTAAATTCCAGGATCAGCAAAGAATAAGTCGTGAATAGAGAGGCAAAGGTATTACTTCTTAAAGTTTTGAAAGCCTTATTTGCAAGATGATTGCCTTGTTGGCTTTCTTGGGTATAAATGATGCATGTACTTCTCATTTGAAGTAGTCCATCATCAGGTTTCCCAAATTTTTCATCTCTGAGGTGGGAGTTACTGTAGAAGAGACAATGAGTGAGGCAGGCGGAGAGGAGGCAGCATAACAGGAACCTCAAATTTGAATGGCTCTTATTTGGCTGAATTGAGAGAAATTAACCATGTTTCTGACCATTACTATATTGCATTTCCTCAAAAAATTTATTATGTATTGTATAAAAGAGAAATCGGTTCTTTCATCTTGTAAGTTCTTTAATATCGTAGAGAAACATGCCTCTGAAAATATGTCAGTAAGTGTCTGTCCTAATGTTAGGGCCAAATTTTTTCTTACCTTCTTGACAGAGATTTTACTTTAAATACAAGTATTGGAGAGAGGTTACTGTAGTCAATCACACTGTGGTCACACATACTATCATAAATTGGCATTTGTAGCTTTGCATACCTACAACTCTTGCAGATCTAGAACAACTTTATAACATGCTTTTAACCTAATAGGCACAGTGTTCCATGATTGCAAGAACATATCAAGTGTGTTTCTCATTTTCCAAAGGCAAGGGACTATTGTGAAGCCTGTTGATTAAAAACTCTTTAGGTTCTACTTTTTTTGTTGTATCCTGTAAGTCTCCAGAAGACAAGTGTTATTGCATGTTTCTTGTTTTACGTAGAACTGCAAATACAAAACTGATATGGGAAACTAGTGGTGTGACAAAAAGCACATACTTTCTCATATTTTTTAAAGGATTCGTAATAGTATAAAATTACTAGATCATAAAGTTGTGTAATTTTGTAAAAATAAGATTACATCAAAATAACAGTTATTCAATGCATTTATCTATATCCATTCAAAAAGTTGAAAGACGATATATGGTGTCATTCTTAACAAAATCTTATTTCTACAATATTTTTTCTTTCACACAAAATTATGCAAAAATTACTCCTATTTTGAAAAAGTTAGTACATGACCTTATTTAAAAATCTAATTTTGAAAAGTTGATTTTAATTTTGATGACTATGCAAACATGCATATGTTTGTATGTATGGTCATCAAGCAATTTTGCAGCATCAAGTTCCTCCAAAACGTGCATTCTGACTAAACAATGTGTTTGATAAAGTAATTTACTACTTATTGGAACAAGATTTATTTACTTTTTCATTGTCAGGGCACCATAATGAAAGTTTTCCTGTTGAAAAATCTCTTTGCTGCATTTTTACAATACATTATCTCTATATAACATAATTAGAATGTGAGAAGGTAAAAATTTAATAGTATTTCAAATATCTTTTTTAATTTTAGTTTTCTAATGTAATATTTCAAATCTATTTGTATGTATCCTAAATTATTCATTTATGAAGACCCCTTGAATTCGCGTTTTGAACTATTTCTTGTACCCCATACCACATAGTTACCGACCTATTGGGTAATATGGTATAGACCTATATCTCTGGTTAATTTGATGTTTTGAAGCAGTGCTTTGTTATGTGTTATATTGATTTTCTTAGCTTTCAGCAAAAGTTGAGATTAATTTTCATTTGTACAACTGGAAGCTAAGTAATAGCCAATTTATGTTTTACTCTATTGTATTATTTTATTATGTTTGCTGAAAAGTATTGTGTTCTATGATGTAGTATATTCAGTGTTGAGTCAAATGTAATTTTCTGTGTGAATTTCTCACAATTCTTGAACAACAGGAGTTGCAGTTGTTTGTGTAACATCAAAAAATATAATTGATTAATTCTCCACATTCTTTGAAGACAATTGCATTTCATAATGTAGGTTGTAACAGTTGTGCAAGAGAAGCTTTGTTTATCATATTAAATTAAGCTAGCTTTTATTTTTTAATTTTTCAAATCAGTTATATTAAAAATTGTGTTGTCATTTTTGTGATTATTAATAATCCTAGAGTGAACATTTTCACTTCAGGCTTTTTAAAAGATGTAGTATAAATCAAAATATTTATTTATTGAGATTTTAAAGTCTGAATAATTTTGGCTAATCAATATATATCTTAAATGAGTAAAGTGATAATTATTAAAACTGGTCTAGAAGAAGTAGTAGTAGTTGTTAATTTTGTTGTCATTATTGTTGGCATCATCTTTTTAATTGTGGTACACCCCCCCCCCCCAGATGTGACAGGTCATCTATGGGAACTCAAACCTTTTATAATTGGATAAAAATAAGCTATTTATTGTGAATTATGGTGCAGACAACAGATAACAGATAATTTATACAATAATAAAAGTGAAATGTGGTTGCTCTTGTCATTAATGTAATTGATTGCTGCTTCATGACAGGAATCAAACTTTTCAACAGTTAAAAAACTTGTAGTTCATAAATATTTTATTGTTTTTGAAACTCTCATCATTCTGAATTAGAGTTTAGTAAATAGGATAATAGGTTGATTGGTATGATTTCAAATTTAAAGAAAAATGAGAAATTATTCATCATAGTTTCAAAGAAATGCTAGGGAACCTGTTCAAGCTATGAGAGATGCAAATAGTTGCTGACCACATCACTTCAAGATCTGGAGCCAGGCAGTAGGGTTGGGATGCAAACCTTACAGGCACTTTCTTATTGAACAGTAGAGTAATTATTTTCAAAATGAAACCAGGTTTCCTTTGCTACACCAAGTAACCTCCAAGTATTGCAAACCCTGATAATTTTTGTTAAGTTAGAACAGAATGTCATGTGTAAGTCTGATGGTCTGCTTCAGTTTAGAGAAATGCGTTGTCTTTTTGGAAGCCTCTGGGGAGCTCTGGTGTTGACAGTCTTTTTGCCTGCAGTGGTGTCTTCGCTGCGTGCAGCCCCCAAGCCAGGTTATGGCCTGCGAGCCTCCACGCTGCCTGCGTCTGGCCGCAGCAGTGGCCCTGGCTTCCCTGTGAGTACCCTGTAGTTGTAACAGAACCTGTGGCGGCTGGCATGGGCTGCTTGGGTGGTGACACAGGGTGGTGATGGAGTGGGTTGGAGTGAAGTGCACACTAATGCTTATCTTCTGTTTTTCCACAGGTGTGAAAAACTAGTTTTGTATTAATTAACAGATTTTCTATATACTGTGGGGATGACATGACAGTATTTCATTTTCTATTACTAAAATTATTATGCACTTGATTGTGGTTATTAATTAATTGGATAAATACATGAAATGATTTTCTGTAATAAATTAATGTGTATAAAAATGGAAAAGAAAAATATATAGAGTAACAACAGAAAGTTTACCAATATATTGTAAATAAATTGGGGAAAATTATACTTGGGTAAATGTTTCCCATTGTGCAACTGTAGATATAGAAAAAGAATGTCATGTGATTCCTTCAGTGACAGGTAGAACTACAAGAAGAAAGGGCGAGCCTTCATGTGATAGATTCAACTGCTTGCTTATTGTTGCCTCTGGGCAGGGTGTGTCAGAGGCATTGTGTGACATGGGTGACATTGGGTGCGTGTGGTTGTAGTGGTGAGCGCTCTACGGCACGTTCCACGGCCTGGATATGGGCTGGCGCCTCGATCCCACACCTTCAGCAGCGGTGGAGGCAGTGCTTCCAACATCGGCGTAAGTGCACCCAGCGCGCATTGGTGGATGTCCATATGCGACGTTGCGTTGGGTGTTGTCAATACAAGGCTGAGCAGGTTTGAGTAGCTATGATATTTGAATGGTGGTTACAACTGTCCCCACAGGGAATAGATTTCAACCTGACAATGAATGGATTGTGACTTATTTACCTCTTGACACTTTGAGTAGTGTCATAAATGATTTTAAATAATTTTTATGCCTCAGAAGAGGCTAATTTTAACCTTTACCTTTAAAATTCAAATCAATATTGACTGGTTTTTTATTTGTATTCAAAAGGAAGTTTCACTTTCAGCTCAATGTGTTTTATTGTAATTGCATTTAGCCTTAAACAATGTATTTGAAATGTGATGTTTTAAGCTGCAATAAAGTATTTTTTTTTCTCTCAAGATTGTCATTTGAACATTTATCATATTTGTTCTTTGAAATAATATTGGCAAGAAAAAAATGTACCTGTAAACAGAATGAAGGTATGTAACGTAAACTCCCATGAACTAGCTAGAAAATGATTTCAAATATTTTAAACTTTTCACAAAAATGTTTTAAAAAAAATCAAGTTTGTAAAGCATTCTTTAAAATAATATTAAAATGAATAAGATAATATTTGCTTAGCCAAAAATTTGACTAAAAATTAATTAATAACTCGCTTTTGGATTTTATGAGGAGTCATAATAGAGTTGCCTTGTAACTTATTCCGAATTATTGTGTCTTTATGTGTCAGTCAAGGTAAACTGAAGATTTATTGATGGGTCAATATTCTAACCACTTATTACCCAGAAAAATACAAATTCATTCAATTGAGCAGTTGTTCTGCTTTCATTGTCTCAATAGCTGCTGGAGCTCGTCTCAGCCTCTACTCCTACTTGTGAACACTTGTTGTTTGTGTTGCATCTACATTAGCGCATGGCACACAAGAAGCTGTGGTTCTCAAATTCCTGTGTTTGGTCTATCCCAACAACAGAGATGTTGAGTATTGTTGTAAAACCACATTTTTTAATATTGATATTTTATTGTACTTAATTCTAAAGTGTAGAACTGAAATAGTGATGGGTAATATTAATTTAGCAAGTTAATTTCTTGAATGTCAATTGTTTTAGAATGTCAGCTGTTGCTCGTGAAATAAAATAGTTCAGCCAAAAATACTTCATGTTGTGTCATGGTAGTCAAATTATGAATTGTAACTAACGTTGTTACAATCAAGCAAGAGGTCTCATTTTGGATGTAACGTAGATTGTTTCACTGAATAAATTTAAATAAAATAAATTACAAAATATTGCAAGAGTTTGATGGAATATAATGTAGGTTTTGCAACATTTGGAAATATTACTTCCTTCAGCTGCTGTACAGGAATTATGCTTTGTGAAGTCATCTTTCTGTAATTGAGCTTTTCTTTATTTTTAAGTTTTGAAAATATTTTTTAATCAGAAATATATCTGATTTATTTGTAGGGATGCATGCTGGTTCATAATTTTGTTGTGTGCTCACTTTTGAAATGCCATTATTCATGATCTTCTAATCCTGTGCTTTTCTTTTCACATGCTATATCTTTGTCTTAACAATTTGTTAGGCCATTGTCTTCTGAAAAGCAAAACCCACTAATTCTGTGTAGTCAAACTCATTTCAAACCTCAACAGTATTAAATAAAATCATTAAAAACTTTTTTATCAGCTTCAGTAACAGATTTGGCAATAGGATAATGTATAAGCAACAATTTAACAAGAATATAATATAGTTCTTATTTATATAGTAGTTATTCTGGATTGAATAAGAGGTCTACATACTTAAGGAGTGGGTAGTGCATGAACCTCTCAATGAGTGATCTAGTCTGAAAATTGATTTGTCTTGTTAGAGGTGAAGGAAAACTTTTTTGTCATTAGAAAATGAATGCAGAATACATTGTGGTGCATTTTTGTGCAATTGATGAAGTAGTTCAATAATTAATTATAAAAGTTAATTTGTTTGCATGTGCTTTATCTAAATAAAAATAATTTACTCCAGGCATTCTGAATTATTAGCTTTGACAGTTAGCTGCCTCCACTTCTTTGCTGAAGAAATCATGGAGAGAATTCAAGCTGCCTTATAATGATGTCAACAGTGTAGATTTTTGCTGTGAAAAAAGTGCTTTTACATGCATATATCTTGCTGTGTAAATTTTCTTGCATTAGAAAGCAATTAATGAATTACAGGTGCATTGTAAAACATATTGTGGAAAAAAATGATTTTCCTCTTTTTCAATTTAAAAGTTCATTAGAGGCCAGTGGAGATGATCATGCATGCTCTGCAGCTGTGTGAAAGCACATGTATTCTTTGCTTTTATTTCAGGTTCTTATGTAGATTTTGAATGTGTATTTCATGTATAGAATATGTTTCTATCAAATACTGTATTTTTGTATATTTATAAGAGGAAACTGTTTGGGAGATAATAATTTGAAGCAAATGCCATTTCAAAAATGAGAAGCAAATTTGATTAATTTTTGTAGAAAAACATAGATGCATTTTAGCTTATCGTTATTTTGGGTATTCTACAATGTTTTATGAATTGGAATATGTTCTGCCAATTTTTTTATGAAAAATTACGATATTATTTTTCTTATTGAACTATTGTACCGATTTTATCAAAATTTCAAGTAAGAATCTTATCAGTATTTTGTTAATGTTAAAGTCAGTGAACTGGGATGTTAGTTATTGTTGTTCATCTCTGTTGGCATTTACAAATAGATGCAGAGAGATGTCAGAGCTAATTCGCAAAATTGAAACATGAAGTAGTTAATGGCTCTCATCACATTACTGATATTGTTCTTATACATAAATAAATACAAGAATTGAAGTATTAGAATATTATGTATCACCATTACTTGCAATGTAAATTTAAAATACAATAGTTCATTTTAATGATGTTCAAAAATTGAAATTGATTTTCCCCCTTTCTTTTGTAAGAGGTTAGGAACATAATTATTACAGATACATTTTTCTGCAACACAAATGCTGAACAATTGAGTTTGTTAATAATTATGTATCCATGTTGTGAAATTGGGGACCTTTTAAAAATCATGAATGAATTTGAGTGAACTTACCTTCTCATATATTTATTTTGTTTCATTTACTTATTATTTTTCTCTGATGTTGTCATTTCAGTTTGATAGAGTAGCAGCACATTGTTTTCATAAATGCATGCTTTTGATTGTAAGAAAGCTACCTAAGAGAGTTTCTGTATAATTATTTTAAATAAATTCTGCATACATCAAATCAGTGTTCGAGAAGTAACTTTCTTTTAGACTTTTCATCTGATGCTCTGTAAGATACTGTGATGAGACCAAGGATAATGAAATTGTTATTAAATTATTACTAGTTTGTTATTCTTCTTAAAGTTGGTAGTAAAGTTTTCACTCTCCCTATGCACTGAACACATTCTCACTATTTAAAATCTTATTTTGCTATATTTGTGCCTTGCTTAAAAGTAGTCTTTGGGATGGTTTTATCTACAGATAATGGTAAATGTCTTATTTGATTTGGGAAATTTGTATGGCATTCAATTATAGAATCATGCATTCATTGCACTGAAGTTGGAGGAAGTATAATTCATGATGGTTTGAAAAGCTAATTTCACCACTAATTACATTTTTCATCTTTGCCTAGAGTTAATAATGATAGAAAATTATGTCAGGAAGACAGCAATGCCCATTGGATTCAGCAGACAGTACTTGTTTTTGTTTTGAATGTGTGGGCGCACGTGTGGGTGTTTGCGTTCTTTTAAAAAAAGTCACTGATACTTTTAATAAATATTGTAAAGTTCTTCTATATCTGGGACATGTGTCAATTTCATACACTTTCCCTTGATCCATTGAGTAAAATTTTTATGGTACTTAGCTTCGCTTCTGGACCATACACATACACTCTAGTACATCTTTCTCCAATCTCTCATATCATATACCTTTTACTTTTTCTGAAATAAATCAGAATAAAATGAATTACTAAAAAACACATTTTGCTTGTCATGGGAATGTTTTCATTGTCAAGGAGATATTTTAAACTTTAATAATTGAATATATATTTCTTCTGGTAACTTGCAAACTTTGTGAGAATTAAACTATTAGTATCTCAGTGTTCTCTTGGGTAACTTTACCATATTCTGAATGTGTGTGGCATGTTATTGAATTGGTGTTAGAGTTGACATATGAAAGTCTCTCTTCTCTTGTGGTGCTCTTATTCAATGTGACTTTATTAAATTTTTGTTTTTTCAGTTACACAGATTTCCTGTGCACATTTGCTGCTATGTCAATTTCTTTTGCTGGTGCTTAGAATGCATGTTTCTTTATAAATTTGTTAATTAATGCTGTTTTGTGGATGGAGTGGCATGTGTATTAGATGCAATTTATTTGCATTAAAGTATACTGTGTAAACTAAATAAAAAATTGCCTATTTGTGAATTACAAAATTGGAAGTGGTGGAAGAGATTCACAGTTCACTCTTAATCAATCACATCATCAATTGAACAGTTCCTGGAGAAATGGATTATTTTGCTTCGCAGATGTATTTAGATCTGCTGTTATTGTTTTAATGAATAGTAATCATGAATCATCTTCTCACCAACGCATTGGAATTGAATTTTCTGTTATGTCAACATTTGTATATTGGTGTTGTTAATAATGTTTCATGATCAAATTACAGTTGTGCACAGGAATTGTGTATCTCTCAGCTACTTGTTTTATGTAGCATGTGTGGTATTTTTATTTAGAAAAAAAGTTGAATACATCTGGTGTGCAGTTATTTTTGGTGCTTGAAGGGAAAAAATATCAGAATGAATTTAAAAATTGTCCCTAAATTTTAAACAGATTGTTATTTTATTAAAATTTAGGACAATATTATTTCCTCTTTCTTTCTCTCTCCTTACCTTTCTTCAGATATGAAAATATGTTCTTATCAAAAAGCAAATACCACTTCAAGCACCAAGGGCAGTGTTCACAAATGTATGGTACTATCTCTGGATCTGATTTTTAACATTCATTTTGGGTTTTGTTAGAATTGGGGAATTTCTGATGATTATTTGTGTGTTTTCTTTTAATTTTGAATCATAACCACACTTTCAAAATTTTGAACTTGCACGACAATTATTATTACTTAATGCTGATTAATATTTCTGCATAAGTATTTCAATTTCTGATTTGAAAAGTTTGAATTGCTTTTTAAGTGTGCTCAGTTTACATCTTATAGGTACCTAAAGTTGTGAAAAGAGAAAGTTCGAAGGATATTGATGTAATAACTTACATGTCCGGATATTGATGAAATAACCTACAGACAATACATGCCTACTTTGTCAAAATCATCTAGGGATCATCTTGTGATATTGACTAACTTAAAGTTAACCACAAATCCAGATCAACAATCAAACCAAAAAGAGTAGTACCAGTTGCAGTATGCATTTGCCATTGAGCACTGCCCGGAACAAATAGCACCTCCCCCTCCCACTGTGTGTGCACGCATTTGTAGTGCTGATGCATGTGTCCGTTGCGCAGGCTGACTTCTCGTTCAGCGGGATGGGAGACAAGACTCACAGCACTGAGTTCAGCAGCGGCAAATCAGACAGTGAGTACCATTTCTGATGATGTTGCATTTTCTAATAAGTATAAATAGCAGTCTGAAATCTTCATCTTCCTTTTTAATATTATTTTCTGTTGTGCTTTAAATCACACTTTAAAAGAACACACTATTCTCTGAACATTGTTTTTCATGAAACCCAACTTGTTCTCTGCTTAGCATTGATAAAGAATGATGATGTTTTACTGCTTTTACCAGTTGCTGCACAACATGCACTTCAATTAATGAAAGGGTGTATACTTTTGTGCTGATGTTTTAAAAATGATATTTCATATGTGAAAGAGTGTGCACTTAAACCAATAAAATATAAAGATTGTTGTGCTTTAACAGAGAAGAATAAAAATAAGACACATCATCAGGAGAACATTTAACAGACACTGTTCAATTAGGTATTTCTAAAGCACTTATGTTCATTTGATGTTTTGGATTTCTATTGTATTTTCTCGCTATAGTTCAATGTTTGATTTATTGAATATTGGATGTTTTTTGTAATTGCCTCTTGAAGTTAATTTTCCTTGTATAACTTTCATTGTTTCATTACTATTACAGGTCTTTAATTTTCATAACTTGTTATTCATACGACTTCTGCTAACAGGGCGTATACATTTGCATGATGTTCTGCCATAATAATGTACATAAATTATATATATGATAAAATTAAGCATTTTAAGTAAAAAAAATAAATAAATAAAATTTGATGTATTTAAATGTATTGTAAGTTCAAGACCTAATAGTTTTTTGAACGTGTTCATATATTGAGGTTTTTTACAAGAGGCTTGAAATCTGAAATGTTTGATATGAGTGTGTTTATTACATCTATATTATTCTGTCTTCATGAAAAAAATTATAATGAAATGTAAAATGTGGATGTTTGTTTATGGTGGTATAAAAGTAATCCCAAATAGGAGTCAATAGATTAATATATTTTGTTCCTTAAGCATGCAGGATTTACATTTCAAATATAAGTCTATTAGTAGGTACAGTAAAAGTTGTTGTATGAAGCTAATAATTTTTGGATTGTCGTCATAGGGAGTAATTTTCATATGAGCATTTGTATACAAAACCAAGAGCATTGGTGTAATTTTTCATAATGGAAAAAAAGTTAATTTTTATCTTTGAATTATTGGGTATTGTTAATGATATTGCTTGTATTTTACACCTGATGCTTTCTATTGAAAAAATGATGTGCAGTGAGTTTTGGAGTTGTTTATAAGCCATACATTAACAGTTCTGCTTGCTTGGCTTTTGCAGTATTAGTTGAATGTGCTTTAAGAATTTGACCAATATAAAATTGCAATGAAAGTTCTCTTGGATTCCAGGTTAATCTAAGAATATTTTTAACTTGTTGTTTAAAATATTTTCTAAATTGAAGTATAAGTTGTTGGCTTTTGTAGATAGGGCAAAGCAAATTTGAAAACAAATTCTGGATTTCCCTCTCATTTCCTTTTCTTTTTCTCTGTGTTGGTTTCCCCTATAAAATTACTTCATTGTTTATTACTTAATTCAAAATTATCAATAACATAATAAGCAAATGTTACAATGTAAATTATTTATATTTTGGATGCATTATTGGTTGAACAATTCATTGTCCTGGGTTTATGCTTTTGAAATATCTTTCATATTGGTATCTTTGAAGAGTCTGTTGAATGGATGGAATCTTACAATTACTTACTTAACTTCTTTCTAGGCATGAAGTAAGAGGGGATTATTATTGTGCATGCTCCTTTTAGGGCCCTTACATTTATGAATACTGGTCATAACTAGTCTGACTTACTTGATGGATCTCTGTCTTGAGTGGTCTCTTTCTCAGTTCTGTATTGTAGGCAGTCATCATGTAGTACTATCTCAAGATGGCAAGTATGAATGTGTCTCAGTTCATCATGTAAGTAGACTTACAAAACCAGGGATGCCATCTTTAGATCTTGTTGTATTTCAGTGGTCAGCTTCAGAAGACTTAAGTCTCGAGGACTGCACGCGTAGCTTCTGGCCACTAACAGTCATAGGATGTGGGAGAAGTGCATGTACTATTATGAGATTCGCATGCAGAGAGATTTGGCAGTGGCGGGCAGTGAAGATAAACTTAAATAATCACTTATATTGTAGTTATCTGGAGTGACTCTCTTTTCATTGTGTGCTGTTTGGCCCAACTACATCTCATTGAAATAAATAATGTAAGGTCCAAAGTGAAAAGATTTGTGATTATTGAAAGTTTGTAATTTCTTAGTAAGTCATTCACTGGCATCTGTAAGAATGTATTCATCTTTTAGCAGATCAGATTTTTTAAACATCAGAGCAAAAGATAAAAATAATTTATAAGCATTTAAAATGTTAATAAATGCATGAATAAGGAAAAGTTTCAAACCTCTTCTTGCGGTTGAAGTACACTTAGACATTACATCAAAGACCACAACATTCGCGGAATCTCAACATCTAATAAAATAATAAAATTGGATAATTGTATATGTGCTTCACGAATATGGTAAAAAATCAAATGTATTTTATTTTTCATAATTGATGACCATTCATTTTATTTTCAATTTTTTAATGAATATATTCTTTGTTTACATTCTTTCATTTCTTTTCTGGATATTTGAACACAAAGATTGATAAATTTGATATAAATGACAGTATGTATCAAAAATAAATTTTTACGTCTGTTCAAGTTGCTTGTGATTTCTGAAAGAACTATGCTAAGATTTTCATAGATATCATCAGTTTTTTGTTTTATCTTTCTAATTGTTATGAATAATTTTGATTGAGAATCATGCTACAGTAAATTGATTTTACTATGTTAGGAAGGATAAATAATAATTTCATTTTGAAACGAGTAAGAAAATCTTCAATTTGTATAAGTGTATGTGCGTTTGTGTGCGTGTGCACTTGAGAGTGTGCATGCTTGTGCATAAGATATAGCTCTCATTTTGTGTGTAGCTCTTGATTTGATACCGTGCCTTTTTTCTCCCAGTTTCGACAGGTTCCATATCTGAGGTGGACAGGAGAGCCTTGGTATGTACAGTCATTTTACGTGTTCACCTGTTCATTGCATTCACACTTGACACTCACCTGACAATCTTGGATTTCAATGGTAGACCTTTCAACATCTATGATGTGCTGAAACATGATTAACCTTAGAAAAAATTAATGTAAAATGTAAATTTAAGCACTTTCTCCAAATTTACCTATAGATGGAGATTCCTTCTTTTTTCATCACTTCTTCAGTGATTTAAGAAGAAATAACTTTAGTTCCCAAAGTAGGATTTATTACTTTCAAGCTATAGGCCTATACAAAAACTTACTTTTGTGCAGCTGGAAACTGATAAAATGACTGAAGAACTGATATGTATGATTTATAGTGGAAATACTAAAAAGTTTTTCAGGTAGACAAGGAAATTCTTAAGAAGAGGCAGTTGTTTTCTATATTACTTGTTAATTTATTTCATAAAAGGTTCATATGAATCACAATGAAAAATGAGGATAGGTTCATTACAAAATGAGTACAGTCAAGAAGTAAAGAAATGTTTAGTTATAATATGTCGTATTTTTAAAACAAAAAGAAAAAATAATCATGATGATGATGATGATGAAAATGATAATAATATGTGTGTGTGTGTATTATTTTACAAGAATGTTATACAAATATAATGGAATACTTTGAAATGTCAGAGCTTGAAATAGTCTTGTTAGATAGTTAGTGGATATTTTTAACTCATAGTCAGTGAATGCAAAATAAAAACTCAGCTGATTATAAAACACTTATGAAAGTTATTAAAAAGAAACAATAACTTCTTGTGTATTTTTGTAATGATTCCTTCCAAGTGGATTCATTGACGGTTAACTAGCACTAGTAATTATTTATTTAAATTGGTAAACAATATGAACTGCATGTTAATTCCCTTGATAGGGGAAGGAAACAAGGTATTGAAATTATTGCTTCGTTGATTACTGTATTATTGATTCATTGATTACTGAAACTTTTGATGGGGTGGGGTGGGATCGGATGGGATAGGATAAGTGTCATTATCCTGTACTAATAATAAATTCTCTGAACTAAAAAAAAATAGGCACTAGACAAAAATATGAAATTACACCAGATGATATTCTCCGAGTAATAAATAAGTAATTAAACAAGTCTTGAACAGGAATAACATGGTATCATAACATTAAATCTGTCACCTCAAACTTCTCACTATTTCATGAAATACTAGTAGCTCTAGAATTATCAGGGCAATAGTAAAGGCTGCCAAACTTAAAACCTGCAGAACATTCTTCAAATCATTTCAAATCCTTTTATTATAACTCAACAATTTATGTTTGTAAAAAGAGAACTCCTGTAAGAAAATAGTATTTTAAATTCAATAAAAACATACATCAGCATAATAGAATACTATATATAATTACAATGAATATATGAATATGAGAATAAAAATATATATATTGTGTAAGCACATATAAAGAAATGTTCATGTTATGTATTTATATAAGAACGCACAGTCATGTAATATAATAGAAAAACAAACTGACTCATTATGTTGTCTTCAACAAATATATATTATAGTATTAAGTGTACATTTATGTAGAATGTATTAATATTATTCTAATTTAATATTAAATAACATAAAATAGAATATAGATCTATATGTAAGGCAAGCATAGCCCCTCAGGTATGTGGAGTAGAGTACCAGTGGGGTGAACTCTACATCTTAAAAAATAACCACCTTTGATTTAATGCTTTGGAAAGTAAACCAAAGGATCTATTCCCAAATGGACGTAGGTTGCACTATTACTGCTGCACAAAAGTCATGTTTCAGCATATTTTGGATACTTTCTAGTCTGTGTGTCTGTAACAGCTTTCTGTGTTGTTCCTGTCTCCTCTATGTGCCACAATGCCTGTAATCACAGAGTGACATCAAAATAATATTTTGTGTAAATCTATATTTATACTTGGTTTATACAATAGTCTTAATTTAGTGACATTTGAAATTGCCTGATGTTAAATGATTTCACAGAACATGGATAGTCTGTGGGTAAAAGGTTGCATAAATACGAACAATAATCTGATATGTGAACTTTTAACCAACATTAAACTGGTTTACTACAGTGTTGCAGGATTTATATAATATTAGTGACTATTAGAGTATCATTAAACAAATTGTGTATGAATTTAGTTATTGATTAGCAGTTTTTGCACGTTTGTAGATAATTTGACTTTTGCATGCCATATTTTAATGAAATTAACATTTCTTAGACTCTATGTTGACATCTTGCTTTTCTTGTTTGCTGTACTGCTTTTTGTACTAATTGCCTTGCTATTTGCTATTTGTATGTTTTAAGCTCATGAAATTCTATGCTAAGTGTTTAATTGTAAAGTTTTTTTTCTTTGTGCAAGCAGAGTGATGTGAAAAAGTTTCATTCCCTTAAACAGATACAGTTGATTTCATCTTTGAATGGAATGTATGTTGTTTTATTTTGGAACTATTAGTCGTTTGCTATGTAATAGGATTTCCACAATATTTTGTTTTTGTAAAAGCTTAGGAAAAGGAAAAATGAAAAAAATTACATATTCTAAATTTCCTATTGAAACAAAAAAATTTATCGGGTAAAATATGCAAAGTGTTACGAATTATTTGCATACAATGAGATTAATTTAGAAATATGAGGTAGCCAGTTCGTAGGTGACAACTGGAAGTGTAGTGATATGAACTTTATTTGGCTTCAACCCAAAAAACAAAGGACCTTTCTATGATTCAGTTATTTGCAATTTAGTCTCTGATTATATGTAATGTAGATGCAAGTGAATTCCATCTCTTTCATATAACCAGGGGCGGATCCAGTCGATTACTTTGGCAGGTGCCATCGTCGATTTTTGTTAAATAATAAACATGTTTGTTATTATATTGTATATTATTGATGTAATGTAGATATGATACTATACAATATTATTGTTTAAATAATTACATAATTCAAATATAATTAAATTTTAATCAATTTTTCCAAATATTGGAAGGTGAATGAAAACTAGGCCTTTAGGGGGGGAGGAGTGCATGGCCCCCATGGCCCCCTCCCCCTGGATCTGCCAGTGCGTATAACCATCTCAAATGCTAGCAGAGGTAATCTGTGAATGGGCATAAAAAAATTGAATTCCGTATTGTGGTAAATTTAAACTAGTTATCAGGAAATTATGAGATGGTTCACAAATGTTTAATTATATTATAGTAAATTGGTTTTTGTAGAAGAATTGCTATTAAGTTGATGTTTTTAGGCTAGGATAGGAAGAGTGGAAATAATGATACATAAAGTACATTTTAAATTATTTTGTAATTCAACATTTATTTTGATATTATGTATTAATATCCCGTTGATTATAAAGGAAAAATTACTTCAGGTTGTTCTATTTTCATGCATACAACCTTAGTGAATGTGTTTCTAATGACAAATATATGTTCTTTATTTTGTCAACTTCTGGTATGCTATAATCTGTATACTGTCATTACCTATTAATATTTTTAAAGAATTTTAAGTCATTTGAAAATAGAAAAGTTAACTGTAAAGCTAGATATTTTTGTGTTTTAATTTGTGTATGGATCAAGAGGTTTTTTAGTTCATCTATATGCTTCATTTCTGACTATATAAATCTAATGATTGCTTGTGTCTTAGAATGCTGATCTGCCAGTGTCCACAACATTTGCGGGTGGTTTGCGTTACGCTGCCTCATACAGCCCTCATCTCAGACGGTCTCTGCCTAACATGTCTCATCCCATGAGTACTGAGCCAGCCCGTGTGTATCCCTATCACCTACTGCAAATTACTAATTACCGTCTGCCTGCTGATGTTGATCGCCTTAACCTGGAGGTATGTACAATGCCTTTGTGATTGAAACATTGGGAAATGGGAGAAGTATGTCTGAATATGATTAGTGATGAGAGTTGGAATTGTATTACAAAAACGTTTCCTGATCTGGCTATTTTCCTCCTGAAAAGCTCATAAAGATGTATTGTTTCGCAGTTATGGGTGTATATTTATATGGAAATTTTCTATTTTGTTTATTTTAACACTTCAAAAGTTTTTGAACAATTGTGTATTGTCACTTACTAAAAATAAAAAGAAATCTTTAACAATCTTCCTTGGATTATGAATGTTTTAAAGACATTTTTTTTCAAAAGTTAATCTATTCCCTTAAGTATTTATTATGATAAAAATGTGGCAAATATTGTTACGTAATTATTCACGTATTATTTCTTGCTTTTAATTGTGCTCTTGTAGCTCAGCAGATTGAAATTTTCAATTATTTTAAGTGTATTTATGTTGTTTCATTAAATGTTTTGTTCTCCAAAAAAAAAATATTAAGAAGTTTCATATTCAATTTATATTAAGAAATGACTCCTGACAATGGCGGATTTTTTACACTAACTAGGTTGAATTCACACAGCCCTTGTCTGGAGAATAATTCTAGTGGCTGGCTGCTCTAAGTAGATTAGTAGTTTTTCGTAGTTTCTCCTATCAATACCTGGCAAATGCTGAAGCAGTACCCTAGCAAATGTGCCACAAACTGCATGCAATCTTTCCTTCCTCTTCCTTGTCCTATCTTCTCTTCTTAATTTCATACATTCACTGTTACATTTACTACTCTACCACACCTGTTAGGGTCTTAGAACTTATCCTGAGTGAGGGGTGCCCCAGTAATTTTCCTACAAGGAGAAATTAGATTGATACCAGATCACACCATTTAACATAGGAGGAACACCGCCATTTTCAGCAAAATACAAACGTTCACTACACTAAGGGGACTAATGGCCATTGTAGTTAACAGCAGTCAGTCAATCATTAAGGAATGAATATTCAAGATAAAGAAGTTGGATAAATGATTGGTTTTGATTAAAGTACTCATTTGTGGTCCATTGTTATTAAAAGGATTATAATTAGTAATTATAGTTTTATTTCTAAGAAATTAATGCATCTGTGCAATTGCTATGATATGAATTCATTGATTTATGATATACAGGCTGTATGTCCAGTTATAAAAGATCCTGTTTAACAGTATATTTTTCCTTCAATGAAATTTATTAGAATTATAGATTTTGTTTGTTGTTTGAGATATATATTTGTTTTTCAATTAATTTTTCTTTCTATTTTCAGCGTCATCTTTCAGATGTAGAATTTGAAACATTGTTTGGTTGCAACAGAATGGAATTCTACAGAATGCCTCAATGGCGAAGAAATGACTTGAAGCGACGAGCACGTCTCTTCTAAAGCATTTTTGTTTATGACTATGGTGGAGCTGCCAGTCTTTGTGGTAGGAACACAAACTATGTGATAACCATGATGAATCCTTTCTCTATATTTGTGCCATAGTCAGTTCAGTTGAAATTTTAAGTGACATCATATGATTCTCTTGCATTTTCTGCTCAAGTTATTTTTATTTCAACTCACCTCTTTAAATGTACTTGTGCACAACCCATTGTATGATTATCCATTTATAATGGGTACTGAAATACATTTGGTGTAATTGACCAAAGATATAAAGATTGTGAATAATAGTAAGTATATTCAAGATGGTGTAATTAACTTGTATATATTTGCGGATCTTTGATATGCGTATTGAACTGGTGCAGCTGATCATATAAAACTGAAAGTTTGTGTTTATTGTTGGGCTAAACAATGTAACTCTGAGCATGAACAATGTGAACACTATGTACAGTTTAAAGGGTATGATTGATAGTTCATGTGTTTCAGACAATAAACCAACATTTCTGTGCTAAAAGGCTCCTGAATTAACCTTATGAAGTGGGCTTCTTTTAATCTTGGTCAGACAAATTACGTTTTTGCTCTTTGCTGTGAGAAAGTGCTCTTCAAGAGCATATATTGTGCATTCTAATTTGGAGAAATTGTAATCACATCAAGGTTTTAAGTGATGTTTTTCATCATGGTTAATCACTGGGAATGGTTCTGTTGTTTCCTGGGAAAAAAAAATTTAAGTATAAAAGAAATAAATTGAAAAGATGAAATTTAAGAGAACTTTCACTTGTGGAGGCTGAATGAGACACCGTAACAAAGCTTTCTCTAGAGTCAGCTGCTTAGGTCATTGATTATATTGATCCTTATATAAGCTTTATTTAATGAAGAGCTACTATATGCCCAGAAACTTATAAAGGTTTCAGAAAAAATGTACTGTTGACTACTAAAGCTTGTGTTTTTAAATTACTGAATGGTACTCTTTTAATTATTCAATCTTGTAGAAATACTATCACTTTTAAGGATGTATTAATTTTGTTTTGGAGGTCAGGGGGATAGAAAGGCCTGGAAGGATGTTCATGCCTTCACATTTTTTTGTCCTCTCACGTTTCTGTAATTATTGTTATTACCTTTTAAAATATTCATTATATAAACATTAATTTAATTTCATTAATTTTTTCTATGGTGGAAAGTCATGAGAGAATGTATTTCTTCTTATGTTTCTATATTTACTATAATTTACAATACCTAATCTAAATTGCTATCTACATGGTATTGTGACAATTACACCCAAGTTTATTGACATATTTTTGCCTTAATTGTTTTAGAATACTTGACTTATGTCTTCTTTGTATACTGAACAATTCACAATTGTAGATGTACATTTGCATGTGCATATAAAAATTATTTATTGTATGTCAAGAAGATTAATTTTATGTGTGGCCTTCCATCCAACTTGTAGATCTGCTGCTATAGGATTGAAAATGCTGGAAACATAATAACAAAGAAATAATTTGGTGGTCAGCTAAGCTTGAAATATATATGCAGATTAAAGCTTAATATTGGAATAGAGAACTCTTGCAAATTAATTTCTTCTAGAGTGTTGCCTTTTTCTTATGTTCAAATGATCCAAAAAGAAAAAGTGCAAATGCTTTTTTAATTTGTGTATGTTCTAAAGACTCTTGCTCTTGATGGGTTTATATTTTATTTCGTTTGAATAGAAATTATTGTACAAAATGATGAAATCATTATTTAAGGCACACCTTTCTGTGATAGGACTTTAGAATTAAATTTCTAAAAAAACTTTTTAACTTTTTCTCGATTATAATTATTGTGTACTCATTTTTTCTTATTACAGATCATTATATTGAATGTTACTGCATACTAATTATGTTGAATTAAAACTTCTAGGCCTTTAAGAGCAAAATATAAGGTCCAGATATTTAATTAATGACATTTTGACTCAATTTTGAAGATGGCCAAGAAACTGGGTGGCTAGTTTATGTACATAGTGTATTAATTGTTTTTAGGAAGTATTTATCAAGATATATTTTGTATCTGTGCACATAGTTCCTCATGTGCCATGTGGCAAGTGGCTTTTATTTTATTTTTTTTTTGATTTTTATGGATACATGCACTCTCATGTGTACCGTGACACATTAAATTCAATGTGGCATTTATTATTATGTATTGTTTATTGTCAAAATGTCATTTCTGAATTTTACTTGCACAGGTACATTAATTTTTCTTGTGCACAGTGTGTGATAGAATTTGTTACTACAGTGTAACTCCTTTACTTATAATTTGTAAATTAAACCATACATGCATACGCACAACATTATTTATGCTTGATATTGTAGGTAGGTTTATATTACTTAAGAATCTATTTTATCAATGTTTGCCAGAACATATACTATTCCATATACTTCATAATAAGTTTAAATTTGATGAAACGTTCATTCTGAAATTTGTGGAGCTTGTATTGCTTTCAGAAACAATCTGTATAAATTAAAATAAGGTTTCAAACTTCAAATGGTTGGTGTTTTAAATTTTCTCTTAGATGCTGCACAAATTGATTTCTAGTTTTGTTGCTGCTATGAGCATGATCAAGAGCTGCAATTGTCTACATACAGAAATGTTGATTCTCATGAAATTGGCTTCAGAACTTGTATTAAGAAGTTACCAGCTTTGCTGAGTTCTGTTTAATACAGTGATTCAGCTTTCTTATATTTGATAGTGTTACATCAGCACACTTTCTATAATGTGCTTGAATGTGTTAAAAAGATAAGAAGAGGGGGATAATTAACCATTGAAGTACATATTAATAATACCATTCAATTTGTGTATCATTTGAAGAAAACTTGAATTATTTAGAATAGCCTTCTCCTTATTTTTTTTTATCAAGAAAGATAAACTTGGATATTTACCAAATGTGAGGCAACTTGTTAAAGTTTCTTTACATCACAAATTAAATTTCTCCTTGTGAATGTCCTATAGACTCCACAAAAAATGTGCTATTAAAATGTTACTGGTGTGCTTTGCTGCTACACAGTCCTATGCAATGTGAAGTCTTTTAATGAGAGAATTATTGGATGCAGCATGTCAGACCCATGGAAATCATTGGGAAATTGTATCAACTGGAAAGTGTCAAGTTGTTAATTATATAATTAGGCACTTATATTGAACGAGCACAGTATAAATATTTTTTGTTAGTTTCACTCTTCACAAAAGTTCTGGATCTTAGAATTTTAGTTAGAAAATGCTATTGTGCATGGATCAAAATTTCCTGGGGCATTTTCTCGCGAACCAACAAGATACTGTTATGGTATATGTTTGTCAGTAGACAGCACCATGAACGTAGTTGTTTCACTGTGTCAGTTTTGTCTGTGCTCATGCTCGGTGGAAATAAGTGCATGAAATGTGTGAAATATCTTGTGTGTTATACAACAATATCCTCTTTGTCAGCTGTACAGAACATTGCTACTCCTAAGTTCCAAAAGTTCACTGGTTGGGTCTTGCTTGCCCATTTTGAAAAATATATTTTGCCATATGCTACAGATTTTTGTGTCATTTATTTCTAGTTTAGGGCTGCTATTATATTGTTGTAACATGTAAATCCTGTAATTAAAAAAAAATTTCAAAACATTTCAACTCGTTTAAGAAAACTAAAGAAAAATATATTCAGTCAGCCATGTTAGTTTGTGACATCTGTCATATCAAATAAATTTTAAAAATGTCGTATAAAAAAGTGAGAATCATAATAAAATTTTATAAAATCCATTATCAAATAGGGTATTGTTTAGAGCACCTATGGAAAACATTTTCTTTCAACTCCTAATGGTTCTGTCTGTGATAATATGATGGAAGAACAATTTCAAAACTGATGTTTCATGGAGGGAAAAAAAGACGGACATCTGTTTGCCATTCAGATTATTTTGCTCATTTGGAATTACTGTTGGCAGCTAAGTAATGTGAAATTTAAGTTGGAGAAGGGACACAGAAATATTGCAAATGTCTTTGTTCAAACTGCTTGAAACACAGAACACATGTCTTCTGAAACCTGCATGATAAATGAAATAGATATTTTTGTTCCCAACATGGTCAGTAATGCGCTCAGCAATACCGATCTGTTTACCTCAATAACATTCACCCAACATAATTTGTTGCATTAACAAAAGTGTTTGTAAGTTGTTTTATCTTTAAAAATTTTAAAACATGTGCTTAATGAATGCTTGCTCATTAACTTATTAATGAATTTTCTCAAAATTAACAGAATATGTTGGAGAATAATACTTAAATATCTCAATTAGCACAATGCTTTAGTTTTCTTATATTTAGGGGTTTTGTGTATATCAAAAAAACATTAAATTTCTCAATTCTCCAATCCCTTAATAGTTTAATTCATGAAAGAATGAAAAACATATAATTGCGCAAAAAACTCTTAAATGAAAATTCCGGGGGGGGGGGAGAAAAATTTTGTAAGAGAATTTCTGAAAAAGGGTCGAATTAATTAGCTCTTTAAAACTTTGGAGATTTCAAAGAAACTTCACTAGAGATCATGTAAATCATTTGCCTTCACAAATACATTGAATATATCTGGATACATGAAAATATCTGGAATTTAAAAAAAATAATGTAATGTGCAATTATTGAATTACTGTCACAACAGCACATACTTTCCTACATTCATAACACAATTTTTGAGAAATCAAAGCAATCAATAAATTTGAAAACTGTGGCTTTTGTAATAGTGTATTTTGCTCTATATGAGAAAAAAAAAATATAAGTTGCCTTTATTTCAAGGACAAATTGTGGGAAAAACAGAAATTTTATATAAGAATTTCACTAGATACCCTGTAAAACAACTACTTTTTCAAGGACAGATTTAATTACTTACTTTAATTCTTTGCTCTATTCGAGAAAATATTTTGAGCAATTTTTTAAGATAATAATTGATCAAAATTTGCTTATATTGCACACAAAAATTACTCATATTTTTGAAAAATGTACTTGAGCCTATTTGAAGATTTTCTCTTTGAAAAACAAAGGAAAAAAATCTCTTATCGTCATTGTTGCAGGAAAGCAATGAAAAAGTTTTGATCTTTTGCGATATAAAAAAATTCAGAGAGTTCAACGATAATGTGACCTGTGCCAATTTTGTTAGCAACCTTTGCTCTCTCCAAGAAAAAAAAATTTCAAAAATTGGGAGTCATTTTTAATAAAATTTGAAAATGTTGAGGATTTAAAACAACCTTTAAAAAATAAAATATCGATTTCAAATTAAGATGACCTCTAATTGAAGCAGACTGATAGAAGATCATAAGATCAGAAGATTGGTACTTTTCCAAGTTAAATTTAACGTCTAGAATTGATATTAGACGTGTTTTTTTGTATTTACCATCCTTTATCTCCTTTTTTCCTGTAAAAATTGCCTTTTCAAAACATTTCTATCCATTAACATGCAGAATCACCTGGTCAGCTGAGGACAAACAAGAGAGGATAATTCAATTTGCTAAGGTAACCCTATTTATTTGTGATGTGGACATAGTTGGATCAAATGTAGTTTTGAAAAGGGCTTGTTTTTAGAAATGTGAAAACAATAATTTTTCAAAAATTAAGCATTTGATGTATTAATTAAAAATACCAAATAAAAAATAACACTTTGTTATTTTACTTATTATTAACAAACTAGGTGTGCTACAGAATGGCATAGACTTTCTTGTATTCATCATTTTAAGAATTGAATGATATTTTGTTTAGATTAGTATTCATGTAATTATTTTACTGCAAAGACAAAACATAACTTTGTATTCTCTTGTTACCCTGGTATACAAAGATAAATTAATTCCCCTAAGTAATTTATAACATTCTTATTCAATATTATCACAAATAAATTGTTGTTATATCACATTAGTTAATATAGCTATATGTATAATTTTAAAATATTAGTTAGAAAGGTACGCATATTGAAATTTGTTAATTTTCCTTAAATAATAAATTGATGGCTGTTTAAAAGAGAAGGAAATACAAAAACCTTTTTCCCAAGAAAGAAATGCACATAAAATGTAGAATAAAGTAAAATTTTCATGTAAAACCATTTCTAATGCTGTTTCAAAGAAAGAATGTAATAGGCATTCAGGGTGACCACTTTCTGAAAAACACAGAGAGAAAAGTTCTCATGTTCAAAAAATGAATTGTCGATGTAGAATTTCAGCTAACTATTATTTCTAATTAATGGAATTAATTCTTTACGATAAAATTATGTAAAAGAAATTTTATTAATTATAAGAATAATTTTTAAAATTAACTTTTTTAAGTTAGTCACGTTATTTTAAATTGTGAAGTAGCAAATTACACAATGCTCTACAAAACATTGTCTAATGCTTTTGAAAATTGGTGCTTAGTACAAAACTGTAACACTGCCAGTTCTTTAAACATAATACATGTGAGAGGAAAAGAAACAGCCAATGATTTTAAATTTGCTTCGATGTGTTTATGAAATTCGTGCTTGTGTCGCTTATAGTAGGATCTACGCTTGTGAACATTATGGCTACAACAACTGGTATTCAATAATATGACCTTAAAGTGCAGGTGGAGAAAAAATGCCATCACAGACGATAAAGACATGCTTTGCTATGCTTTTGCAATCAGAGTTAAGGAGAAAAACGCTATTGAAGAATGAAAGCAACAGGAAACAAAATTAGAGAAAGAGTCAGTATGAGAGAGCAGAAGAAGAGGAAAGGCTGAGGATTTGATAGTGCTGAATAAAGAAAAAGAAGAATTGTGTGTTAAGCAAGGCTCACCTCGAAAAGAAAATTGCAACATGGAAGGAAAAATGATCAAAAAGATGTTTGTCAGTGATTTTGTGATTATTTTCAAATGTGATCAAAGAAAATTATATTGTAAATTAAATAAATTTAATCAATTAAAGGGTGAAATTAGAGGTAAACACAAAAAATACAATAGCATTTTTGGCTGTATGTAAAAAAAAAGCCTAAAAAAATATTACAATGATTTGTTATTGACATGTAGTGGGAATGCTAAATTTCTATGGGATTTTAAAAATATTAGACTGGGAAAAATAGAACAGAAAGAAAATCTATTAAATTATTATTCTCTGAACAATACTAAACTTACATAAACAATGAAACTGAAATTGCAAAATATTTGGATACATTTTTGTAGAAATAAGGCCAAAAATGGTAGGTAAAATTGAGATTCATACTTTTAACAATGCTCAATCTGAATACAATGTTATTGCGGATTCCTTATTCCTTCATAAACATGAATGAAAAGATTATGAAACTTTAACTATTAGAAAATCAGCTGGATGATATTCCTACAAGGGAAATAAATGTATTGCAAAATATATATCTAATCCACTAACTAAATAAAAATATCCCAGTATATATATTTTTTTAGTCTTAGAAAAGCTTTTGACGCAGTAAATCATGTCGCACCATAGATAGGTTTTCAATACTTACTATAAGCAATTTAAAAAACAACTTAATTTTTTTTAAACACTAGATAGCAAATTTTTTTTTTTTTTTTACTCTGAAGATGTCATTGAATGGTTGGGTTTAAACTTATCAGGGGGCAAGTTATCTTACTGTACCACATGTAATAATAAGATTTATTGGGTCACATACACATTTTCAAACATGTATGAGTCAAATATGAGGTTAGCACCAGACATCCAGATGTGAGTTCCAGAATCCCTACTCTCACTTACTACACACTTATGAGTAAAGGTAGAAAGCTGCATTTTAATATAAGAAACGTTCATCTTGTGCCTGACAAAAGAGAGTTCAAGAAAACTTATGCAGAGGATGGTTACATTTGCAGTCCACAATCACAGCAAGGGGGCCATCTCAGCATTTGCTTGAGGATCATGGGAAAATTGGTGAAAATATTGATTGAGTTGGTGTCATTGATCTTATTGCTGAATTACAATACTTGTTGCAAATCGAAATAAAATATTACTCGCTTTTTGTTAACAACGAATTTTCTTCACTGATAAGGGGTAAGGAAGTTCTGTTAATTTAAAGAATTAAATGTTTTGTCTCTTTTATATGCCAATTATTGGAATTAAAGAAAATAAGGACATTTGTTTTAATCATTATTTTAGTTTTAAAAATTATATTAGCAGCTGTTGTAACTTCAAACATTTTAAATTAATTTTACATACAAATCACATTTATTTTATTTTTTCTTGTTTCCAGATCATATTATTCTACAAAGCATATTTAGAATCCAGATATTTTCTTTATATGAATGACATGCAAATTTTTCATCTTTGAAAGAGATACTGAAATCTGGAAAAGTGTTCGTAGGAACATGATAATCTTCCATCATTGAGCACAACGTCACTTACCAGTGAACATATTTCCACCCCCTGGTGAATGAGTTTAGAAAACCTAAGGAAAATTGTGTATTTCACATAATAATACACTGCATGATTATAAAAATTAAAGATCTTCTCTTCATATTGATCAATTTGTTTCAGGTATTTCTCAACATCCTAAATTTCTCCTGTGTAATCAGTATTGCTTTTCTGTTTCGAAACGGAGCAAACACAAAGTCGTCAACTTCAAAACTATAACATTTATGTATCAAATTTAACTCTCATGTTTTATCAATTTCAAAGACATTATTCAAATATCAGTCCTATTTCATCACGATCGTAATCTTCATTGATGGCATCTTGCTGGATTATTTCTTCTTAAAGTACCATCACCATCAGAATAACTTAACTGGAATGTAGTTCAGAAAATGCCCTGTTGTTACATTATATGTTATTAATAATTATAGAGAGCTTTAAGTAGGCTTAATATACTAGATTTCTCTAGCTGTACTTGACAAACTACTACCATCAGCAGCAACCACAGAATAACACTAGCACAACCTAAAAGATAAAAGTGTTCAAAGTTACAAGTCACCCCAATTTGTCTATTGCCACGCAAGGTTATAAATTCCCCTCATTTATATTGTTTTAAATGCAAGTAATCTGCAAACTTTGTACAAAAATGCAAGTAAATATGTTAGTGCATATTGTCTCCAAATTTGACATTGTATTGGTTCACTTCAGTTTATTTCTAAGACTTTAGTGCCATTTTAGAAACCTAAATTGCAAGTTTTTAGTACCTTAATATCTGATGCCTAATTATAACACAGTATTACAGTTAATGGAACTTGTGATGCAACTATTAATAATAGTAGCAATTAAACTATTTACAATCTTAGATAAATTTACATTGTGTTTGAGCTAGGGCTTGGTGAAACATACTATATTTACATTACGAGAAAAGTTTATTAAAAATTCACATTTTATATCAGTGAGGCTGTTTGGAGTCTTCAGAAATTGACATTTACACAGAGCACTATCATATTCACTTAATGTTACTGCTGGTTCTCCTACAACTTTTTATATCAGTTTGACAAACACTTCTTCCAGTTACTATGAATTACAGATCAGAATAAGAATTAGTTAAGGTTTACTTTAAAATTTAACTTCGTTATTGCTTTAAGTAGAAAATTGGACTTTTCTGTAACAGTATAACTGAACTTTTAATAATAATAATAATAATAATAATAATAATAATAATAATAATAATAATAATAATATTTATTGA